CCGACAGCCAGGTTCGCCTGAGACATAATAAACCATTCTTGTTACTTTTCCGCGACCGTGACACCCCAATAAAACAAAGAGATAAAATAACATAAGAAAACATACTCAAACTCGAGTACAGGACCCTGTTCATAACTTTTGATTCCTCCCCCGTTGCCTCCAGATTCCCCATTGCCCTTTTTATGCGCCTCGGCTCCAAAGTCGATAAGCACCCCATTATCTCATCATGTCTCGCGAGCATGCGAATTCAACCCACAGTTGAGGTTGCTCTAAGCGCTAGATGCACAGTTTTAGTTGGCCTGAGACCTGAGGGGGAAGAAGCCGTCTGGCATGGGCTCAATGTGCCAGATCTTGGGTGCTTCCTTGTTGAAAGCAGCGGACCACTCCTGTGTCAGGTCTGCAGGGAGCTTCCATCCCAGCTCGTCGTCGCGGAGTCTCATGCGAACCAAGTGTCGACGTTCTCGGGCAGCCTCACCGTTGACGAAGCCTTCTCGGCGATGCAAGATTGTGAGGTTGTTGATGAAATGCATGTCACCTGCACGTGTGCTAATCTCCAGCTGAGTCGCCTTGGCAATGTTCTCAATGGAGTCCAATGCCTCCATCTGGCGTGGCGTGACGGCAGGAAGGTTGGTAGGGCGTGGGTGAATTGCATTCCCCGTAAGAGCTACACGCCCAAAGTTGATCAACACTTTCCCCTCGTGATGAAAGAGGACTGGTCGGCACTGGAAACGGGGCCTATCACAGTATAGCGTGTCAGTGGATGCACTCCTTGCTTATTGTTGTGATGAAAAGAACAAATCAAGTGGATGTAGATAATCAAGTGCCTGAACTTACAGGGCGAATGGCCAGTCAGAGCGAGCAAGAGTGCGAACCATGTCCGGACGGCTAGTAGCAAGAACATTGTAGACAGTGTAGGCTGAGGCGATGATGCATTTGCCTCCGGAGACAGCAGTGCTACGTGTGAGCCAACTGACTATGTCACCAGCTTCCTCGTTGTGGAAAGTCTAGAGCAGAGGTTAGCGTTGTTGACTATTCCTTCCAGGATTTATAAAAAAAAAAGATTAACCTACGATGGGGGAGGTGGAGTGTCGATGGTGACCAGCCTTGAGCTTGGATGAGTTGTCGGCGACAATATGAACTAGAAATATGTCAATGACAAAGAAAGCAAGGTAATGGGATCATTCGAGCCAACCTAGCATATTGCCTTTTCGATCTTGACGCCCATGACGATTAGCAATGTAAGACTGAATGCCAAGATACAGCACAGTCAAGTCCTCGACTGAGTACTTTTGAGGATCAAGGCCACGAATGACACCAAAGCCCTTGCCTCGGTACACGTCTTGGCGGATACGATCCAGTCTTGGTCCCAGAGTGGGAAGAGGGAAGTTGTCTCGGGAGACACAATCCCCGTCAAGTCCCAAGGCTGGCTGGTGTTAGCAACGGCAACATGATGCACGCCACGGAAGAGGCGCCTCAGAAAAAGAGACGTACCTTTGAAGACCAGCAAAGCATTCTCAGCTTCCTGTAGGTCGGATTCGCTCAGAGTGTGGATGTATTCCGATTCATCCGTGAATTGAGGACCAACCCAAGCCATAGGCTCGTCGAGAAACTTGGGCCACCCTTCGGGGACCCCAGCCGGCCCATCTGCCACGCGACTGACACAGCCGGCGGCCGCAGGAGCTAGCTCAACGGCTGGGCTCGGACCAATGATGGGCCCAACTATGGAAGATGCCATGGCAATGGTTTCTGAGGGAGAGGTACCGCTGGTGGCTTGGTGGTGGTGTCTTGATACTGAGGTACTCTGTCAGCCAGCCTCTTACACGAGAAAAGGGACGTATATGTTTTGTGAAGAACATACGTTACGAAACGCAACGGGCCGTTTTCTGATGACCTGGTATAAGTCAGGATCTGCGGGGAGACCTAGTGGATCAGGAAGAGATCGAATATGAAAGATGATATGTGAGCTGAAGGTGTGCTGGGGTGTTGAAAGAGAGGTGAACAAGATGGAAGAAAAGGAATGGGACTTCTGGTGGTGCGAGGCGTCTACTTAAATGCGTTTGCTTAATGGAAGGCGGAGATCAAAACAGAAGGGAAAAGGAACGTTTGATACTATCGTGGCAAGTGCCTTTGGTCAAGGTATAGTGGCGTTGGAGGCGCCTCCAATTTCGAAGTTCCTTGACGAGTAACATGAATAGAAGGCGCAACTTACAGTCGAGAGAGATCAAGAGTATTCCGTAGCAGCGGGCGAGGAAAGAGGAAAAGACGGAGGTGCAAGGTGTCAGAAGTACGGCAATAACGATGGATGTCATGCAAATTGCAGCACAGACGAACAGTTCTTGATGAGCGAGATTGAGGTTGGAGATTGTTGAGGAATATCAAAAGAACGTTCAGACTAAGTAGGAGGCTAGTAAGGTATTATTATAGCTTTCCCAAGATGTTTGCAAATCGGTGGTAGCCCTGTTTAAATTTAGAGATAGAGGTGAAGCTCCTGGGATATGCGGCTCTTGGAAGGATGTTGAAGTTGTGTAACGTTCTCCCATGCTTCCTCCGTCCCCGTTTTCTCGGGTTCGATGTGAGAGAGAAGGCAGGTACAATGAAAATTTTCACTTAGATCTGCTCTTCGTTTCGTGGCTTCCACATCCATCCAATTTCCAGTACCTCTTCGACCTAGGTACCTTAGAACCTGGGTAGCTACCTCACCTTACCTTACACCACTTACACAAGGATTGTTGAGGAGATAGCATCGGGTTGGCACTTCCAATTTGGCAGGGTTAAGAGACAGGGTATACGTAGATCGGGTACTTGCGTAGCCGTGCTCGTTGCAGGTCGCAGATACGCGGCGGCAGGAGGCTGCAACAGAACCCAGCAACGCGGGTATTCGCTGGACTTCCTGCCATAAGGTATTCCAGGGCTAACGCCTTGAACAATCAAAGTGCCTGGTCAGGTACTGGTATCTCCATCTCTTAGGCGGGAAACGGAACGAGCAGACGAATTCTGAGGTATCAATTGGAAGTGAGTAAGTGCCTTGCCGCTGATCCTGTGCTTCATTCGTGGTTCCTCGCCTTTCCATGTCACCAGTGCCCGGGTTGCTCAAAAGTCCTGGGTAGCAACATAAACTCTGGGTCGTCTCTCATTGCAAGGGAGGAGGAAACGAGACGAGACGAGACGAGAGAGCACTGTAACATTCCTTGGGGAAACGGGTCCGGGCTCTCAACTAGAGTAGAAAGAAAAAGGAAAAAAAAAAGAAAGGAGAACGGAAAATTGATAGAAGTACCAAGCCTAGCCCCAGCAAGGGTTGGCTGATGGATGTATATGGTTCCAAACTGTAGTTAGTTGGCTGAGAAAAGCAAAACACCAAAGGCTAAGAATGAACATGAGCTAAGAAGACGACTAGGAGAGGCTCGAGGCTCAGACTCAAGCTCAGCTGAGAGCCCAATCCTAGCTTAACCGAACTGGAATAGCATGGTAAGGATGATCCTTCGTGTTGATCCCCCAGTAGCTACCTCGTAGCTTTATTGCCTACCTAGGTACTAAATTTTAGGTGTGTTTTAAAAGTGGTTCACCATTGGTTTACTACGGAGGATACCTATGCACCTTGTTGGTTCCTCACTTATCTATCTGTGGCTGGCTGGCGTCACCTTTACAGTACCTACAGTACTAGCAGTGCTCCGTAGCTGTGCTACTATAGGTAGTCCAGGTAGTATTGTATCCGTTCAACACGTCGACAAGGGTCCAAAATCACGGCAGTCGACATTGATCCTTTGGCAGTGGTTAAACTTTACTTGAGGCGTTATACAGCTTCATTGGTTGGCGGATTTCTATCCGTTGCCACCCGCTTAGCTTAGGTTTGGTTCGTTTCCTCGGGTCCTAATTACTGGTTCCCCGTCAAACCAAGGCCAAAGAATGATGCTTGGGCGACGCGGACACCTTGGACAGTCAACAATCGACAGTCAAAGCAAAGCAAAGCAAAGCAAAGGCGAGGCAAGGTAGGGCAGGGTAAGGCAAGGGATATGCAAATAGACGCGTCTCATTTCATTATTCCCTCCCGTTTGTCCCGTCGCCATCTCTCCGCCGCTCTTCCCGATGGATACACAGCATGTAGGAAGCACATATATTGTGTAGTGCTCCGTACACGCTGCATTATCCACACTCTCAGACCGACCAAGTCTACCTGTTAAGCCCAAGTCAAGTCAGAGCAAAGCTGTGGTATGAATGGCCCGGGCTTTGTCAAGTGCCGCACAACCAGGCCCGGCCCGTCCGGCATCCCTCCGCGAGCCAACCCTCAGCGAGCTTGGTACATATAAACCTTTGATCCCCCTTGTGTTTCTGTGCAACAATGCGCAAGCCGTCAAAACGCAGCAGCCCGTCTCCCATCGACACTCGGTGAGCAAACTCTCGCCTCTTTCTGTAGGTGGCCGCACACACTCTCGGTGTACCTGTCCCTCTCCTCTCACCGTCATCCCTTTTCTTCCATCGTATCGCAATTTGTTGGCGTGCACTCCCTTCCGTCCTGTTACATTGTTTCGCCTACGACCCTCCTCCCCGCTGCTTTGCCGTGTCCCGTATCGTGAACTGGTCCATGTGGCGGTTTATCGGAACTGAACAAGAACCATCAATCTCTTTGGCTATAGCATCTTCACTGGCCCTCCGCATCCAATTTAGCTGTTTATGTCATTTCCCTTCAAACCATCACACCAGTTCGGCTCTTTCTGAACCTCACCTGCTCTTGACCGCCTTTTCGTAACCAACGTTACCCTGACATTTTAAATTGGTTTCCATTATCGTTATCATCGTCATCGTCATTATGGCCGTTACTGTTGCCGCCGTCATCCAAATTCACCGCCCTTCATTTGCGTCGTATACAGTCTCAGTTCCTGCACCTCCGCTGTGAGTACAGCATCTTCTCAAACTCTGCGACTACGCAATTGGCTCCAAGTCACTCATTGCCCCCCTACTGCCACAGAAGACAACCAGAGATGTTGTTGGCCGACCAAACCCGATTATATTGTTGTTCGAGGTTGCCAGTTGGTCTCGAACAATTGACTGACAAAAAAGTAATCATGCTCATACACGGCCTTGTTCCGGATTTCTTCCCATTGCAACGCTAAAACCACAGAGTTCAAGTTAGCATCAAATTAGAGAGCCATTGTCTCAGCCTGTATGGTTCTTCATCCCCGAGGGTCAACTTACCATGTCGTCTAGCCAGGTTGCTAGTATGATGGACAAACTTGATCTTTTCTTCATCCAAGCCTGCCAGTGTTCGCAAGTCTTGGTCTTTACAATCTTCCGAGAAAGGGTAGATGCCCTTGTTACAGTAGTGGAAGTGTGCGAGCAAGATGTTTGCGCCTGTTCAATCCCCAGTTAGCAAGCGCTTCTGTGCAGGATGGACCAGGGTGGCTGTGTGACTCACCTAGGTGGTATTCTTTGACCTTCTCCTCACGTGCAAACCGTCGCTGCAAGTACATCGATAATCAGCAAACTTCGCAGGCCACTGTCGACTCTCAGGGCTCTCTTACCTTCATGCCGTGCTTCTTTGCGTATCCAGCGTCATGAGCTGTGATGAGAGCTGTGTTATGCAAAAGAATGAAGATGACAAGATACGTCACTAGCCAAGTGCTCTGCTTGTTCTTTGACATCATCTTCTGGAGTTTGTCCAGAAGCTCCCTTCGCAGCTTGGTCTGTATGTGGTGAATCAGGATAAGATCCATCTGAGCGCCAAGTACAGGCGGAAGAGGGATCTTGCCGTGATTCGGGTTCGTTTCGTCCAGGATGTTTTGCTTCATCCCCAAGGTCTCTTCTCCAACAATGAAGCTCGACCGCGTCGTCAGACGAATCGACATCCACAACAAGAGTGTATGATGAATAAGTTCCACGCACTCTGGCGTAGTGGACGGGTCTTTGAAGATTTTCCAAGCACGTAAGTATGTTCGGAATAGCAGGCCTTCAGGTGGTCCAAGCAACTTGGTAAAAGCATCCTGCATGCTATTCTCAATGTGGTCCAGATACTCTTTCTTCGCCTCCTCGAGGTTGACCATCGCATACGGAGGAATCTTCACGGATTTCTTGACACCCTTGTAATCCCAAGTACGTTCCAGCTTGTCACCAGCTTGAGGAACGAATCGTTGAACCTTCACCTTAACAAACTTATTCGATAGGCCCTCGGATAGATATATGGTTCTGGGCTCTTCAGTCGTAGCCCAGCTCTGTATCGGATCCGAGATGTTATTGGTCCATCGTCGTGTCCATTCATAACCGGGAACTTGGCCCGGTTTGAAAAGTCGGATATCTGTTATCTTGTATCTGAGACAAGGAAAGCGCCCCGCTCTCGAATTGGAGACTTTTTTGCATGTCAAACAGGCCCCTCCCTCTTCCTCGGGGTTGTTTTCACACTGCGTCGCTGGTTAGTGGCCTTTGCGCACCAGCCAAAAAGTACGTTACAGCAAGACATCATCTTATGCAACGGAACCGGACTGTGTTACTTACACGAATTCTTTGCATTCTGCACCTGATACAAGAACCCATCTTTCGGGTTTGGGCAGTTTGTTCACGGAGATTTGGGTCCTTGAACGGACCTCTCTTCCCCCCTCTTTGGTTAGTGAGAACAATTTCAAAATTGGCTTGTTGATCCATTAGAGACCACTCGTTCTGCACAGTATCTTCGCCAAGTTGAGCATTTATTATCATGCCATATTGGGAAACGCTGTCGGGCGGAGCCAAACCCTGGTGAGTAATAGCATTTGTATCAATAAGGCTGGAATCGGAACTGTAGCCGACCTGTGGAAATGCCTTGGAGTCAAGCTGTTGACTGGGCATTAATACTTGATTCTCCAGCTGTGGTTCCTCTTTGAAGGCTTGGGCGACGTAAAAGTCTCCAGCTGATAGATGAGGTTGATGAGTTGGTCCAGGACCACTCATCACAGGCTCCGCTAACGGCGTCTGATCAGAGATGAGAGGAAAGTTGACAAGGGGCGCAACATTCAAGTTAGGTTGCTGAAAGCCGTAATCTGGCTGTTGACCAGAGCTCAGAGTTGTATTGTTATATGGTTCAGATGATGGCATTGTCATAGACGGTTGTTTTTCTGCCATGTAAGGAGCATCTGGGCCAGAAACTGCCGGTGCAGAGCTCGGTAGCTGTTGATAGCCTTTCAGGTTGATGTCAGCGATGATCTCAGGTGTACGTCAGGCGATCGGGCAACCTTAAGAGTAGTCGGATGCTTACCATCTTGATGTCTTGGGTCCCAGCCACAACATGGGCAGAAGAACAAGGTCAGATCCGCCATACGCCTGGTTAATGGGGAAGTAGAAGACGGCATTGAGTTCTGGCCACATTCGTCCCAGTTTGAAGATGTCCCATAATGCTCATCACGTTGACTGTAAGGTCCTGATAATGGGAGTTTCATCAGAGGTCCCTGGGACGAAGGCGGTCCTTGCTCGGATGTCATTGGGATCGATGGTGCGAGCCTTCTCCTCTTCCTACAATGCTGCTGTTCAATCAGTTGATGCAATTGAGAACCAGAGGCTATTCCATAGAATTGTGCCAGTTGATCAAGATTGTCTTGGATCTCAAATGGTATAAAGGTGAAGTTGTCATTCACGAGAGGGGTGAAAGGTATTGACGAAGGGCCCGGATCTTCAACTCCCGGTTGGAGGAGAGGCCTCTTAACTTTGGAAGGATAATGTGGATTCTATAGAAAAAATCAATTCACCGCACATTTGGGTCTCGTAGGGAGGGGGCCTAGGGCAAGATCAGTGAGAAGAAGATGCTTGTCTGAGAGTCATGGCACGAGAGCCACGACGGGGCTGCGAGAAGAGGAAACGGTGGTGATTGGCAACAGCCGCAGGGGTCATGCAAATAGAACGATGAGACGGGGGATCGATGATATAACTCCATGCAGCTTGCCGCCAACCGGGGAGAGAAACTCTTACCATAATGGCTGCAGTGAGACAGGACAGGGTGTGGAACAAACACTGCCTAGCAGTAGGAGTAAGAACAGAAAGACGAAGGTCAAGGTACCACCACGCGGAATCAAACTCGACGAAATACAGTCAATGACAAAGAAGAGCTAGCTTGCCCGGTTTGTCTCTCAGAAGCGGTGGTCAAAATTGAGCGACGCCGGGGTGAGAAGAGGGGGAGTGTGGTGGGAGGCTAATGTGCCACGAAAGCCATCACCAGGCACTTGACGTTGAAACCCCCGTAGTGCGCCGAGTGGAGCACCAGCGATGGCCGAAGTCAAAACGACGGCCGAGAGAAGGATACCAGACGGTCGGGAATAGAAAATACTGTGATGAGAGAGGCGAAGAATCCGGGGAAGCTAGGCGGAAGGGTGATAAGTAGGTATGTTAGCGCAAACCCAATCAGGTCGTTGAGGCTCCTTGCCAACAGATGGAAGGCCGATGAGATGTTGGTGTGCTGCTCGCAGCCGCCAACCTGAGAACCTTGAGCCTGAGTACGATTAGGACAGTACGTGGAGCCTTGTCCACCCCGTCCACTGCTTTAGCAACAAGGCGGGCTGAGCTGTCGTGGTACTGGCGACAGAACGTGGAGTGAGTAGCCGGTGGTGCTGGTACTGGTGTTTGCACCGTTGAGCGAAATCAGCGCAATATGCCTGCGGCCGCGATCGTATGGATGACGGCTGATGCGGGCTGCGGGCTGAGCAAGTATGCGGCTGGCGGTGTGGTGGTTGTAGTGACTGGGCGTTGAGCGCTTCAAGCAACAGCTTGACGGTCTGCTGGGAACGGTGATGATGAACGAGTCTGTGAGAGAGGAAAGTGGACTCGGTGAGGACGGCGTTGACATGGCCTCGTGCTGAGTAGTTTTTGACCGGTCTGAGGGGTACCATGGGAGTGGCAGGGGGCCTTCTGATTGTAGTGCTCAGGCTTGTCAGGTAAAGGATTTTGGGATATTACCCGCTCTGCCGGTTCAGTGCACCTAAAGTTCTCGATCTTATGTTAGGTATTGGAATAAGTTATTAGACACCATTGGTGGGGCGATTAGCAAAGAAGAAACAGTATAAAGGCTTCGTTCATGGCTTAGGAACTTGGCTACTGAAAAATGAGGGTGATTTGAATCGGGCGTAGTCGTAGACAACAATGCAGCTGAATCCTCTGGCAATCGAATCTTCGGATCGGGTCATTGTTCCATAGCCACGGAGCCTAGCCATGCCAACGGTTAATTCGTGCATTGAAATGGCCATGTGATTGACATGGGGCTGACCAATGTCGGTCATGGCTGCACAGTTGCTCAGCTGGGATTGGATGTACCATTTTCAAATTGCTTTTTTTCCCCATGCACAGGGTCTCACAACGCCAACCCGCGTGGGTATCTCACACCAGGGAAAGAAAAAGTACTGTACATCGTCAACTCCGAAACGAGGTTCTCAAAGGTACTTGGATCGCCAAGCAGTTCAGAAGAAAGATATTTTTTATCCAATCGTCGATGTAGGTCAGGCGTTTGGGGGGGCCATTCTCGAGAGTAACGCATACAAGTCCGAGAAAAGGCAAAGATGCTTCGATAAGTATGTCCTAGATTAGCAGTCAAGTTTCTAACCAAGAGGATACTCCGTTTGCCAGATGCACTGGATGCAGTGGTGTATCGTAAACGAACAAATGCCCGAGCGTTGTTTCAAGCCCTCTCAGCTTCCCTTTCACCCATCTTATCTTGGCCAAGGCTGACGAGTGAATAACAGCCAACATCTCACAGAATGTTGAGACCAGTGGTGCTATCTGCCAATAGCTGACCCGTTGCCAGAAGCCTGCATTCTGTCCATGTGATAAGACGAATGTGTGTTATCGTCACGCAAAGACTCTGGTTGGTACGAGGGAGGAGGCAGGGGCAGCAACCGGTGAGAACAGCAATTACTTGCACTCTTGGCCGAGAATTAGAACTAAAAGATCGGTCCGATCGATATCCGGTTGTGTGTGTTATCATTGCGAGCTTCTTACGACAAGAACCTAGTAGCTGATGTTCGAGCCGGACGCACTACTCCGTAAAGAACGGCACGATGCAACTCATGTCCCTGAGCAGCCGCCAGTGAGGCGTGGCCCAGCCACAGATTCTGCATGAATACGGCTGCATCTTCGTGGGTTATATTGCATCAAAATGCAAGTGGGATATGCGTGGCTGCGTCCGTGTCTCTTGGTTTGACGATGTTGTCTCTTCTCTCTCCGAGTTGCAGTGGTTTTCGGCGCGAGAATGGGTTCCTGGCGATATCACCCAGCCTGTGACGTGGGATTGATGGGATGGCAAACTATGCAGGTTGCAGAAATGAAAATCACTAGGCTGTTTCTGGGGCCACAAGAGGTGTCTAGGTAGGTAGGTAGCTAATATACTCGATACTGTGATTGGGAAGTTCATTAAGTGGCGCTTGCGCTTTCCCTTGAGGAAGGAAGGTCCAAGTCAAGTTAGTAAAGTAGTTGCCAACCTAGGTAGGCTATTACGATGGACGTTAGCAATTTTGCTTTGCATTAGTATGTACAACCCACGCAACGGTCTGACGGAAGAGAGGTCCGTTACCGTTCACCGGGTTTCCACACTAGGAAGTAATTGAACACCCCATGAATTTCATATCCAAAGTTAGTGCCTTCTAAGCTTTAGACCGAGAAATCCAAATCTTCACCGGATCCAGTACCTTGTCCCTACCTAAGCGCCGATGAGGAACTCTCTTGTTGATCTAGAAAAGAGCATGGATGCCACATGGAAGGACTAAATGTCGTTAGTCTCTATCCACCAACGGGTCTTCCCGCGTTCCAGATGGGGCGTCCTAGATGGACGAATCGAACTGTTCCTCAAATAGAAATCGCTTGAGCTTTCTCCTGGATGGGTTCCTCCCAAGCCCTACATGTAGCTACAACTCGTTCTGGCGATTCTGTGCTACCTAGATGTACAGGATGCAGGCAAGGGAGGTTATACATATGGAGTCGAATCCCTTGCTTTGCCTGCAGTCACAAGACACCATCCGCCTAAGCCCGTATTCTCTTCAGCCATGTAAGCAGCCATCGGTCAGTTATCGCCCTAATCACCCCTGCTTCATATTCGCCAGCATTAATGGGCATTGTCAATCATCCAGCTCCCACGGTATGGTAACGCAGCAGCAACAGAGCGAGTCAGCGCAGCCACTCGGGAGCTCCGCGAGCTCTACCCACGGACATTACAATGCTGGCTTTGCGCACTGTCCAAGCCTCCCCGCCCGGCCAGGAAAGAAAGAACGCTATGCTCAAGCCCCCATTGGGTGGACGTGGGTGATAATGGTTCTCCGGTGCGCCTCTCCCGCTTCGGTGTCGGCTGGCACTTGTTATCAGATATCAAATAATATCGGAATGCAGCGTGCTTCAGGGCACGCCAGTCAGCGCGGATGACGTTGCCTGTACACAAGATCCCAAATGGTCGGTATTTCGGGAATGAGAAATGTGACTGCTCACCGGTTTCCCAGGAGCCCTTGTTCCCAAAATCTCGGTATTCCCCCACGTCGATACTTGAGGGGGCAGATGCCGGCATTTATCTGTCCAAGCCAGGTACGGTACTTATTGTGGAAGTCATATGCTGTTTCTCATGGAGATGGTTCTATTGATCGGCCCTGGACGAGCCCTACTGAGCGCTTAGATGAGGTTGTCTCGTCTCGACATTGTTTAACATCAGTCGTGGCCTGATGCTTCACGGAGTACATCTGGCCCATCTCGCTTAGAGCTCCCCATTTCTTAAGCTGGGTCAGGTCATTCAGTTTTCGAACTGAATATATGCCAACTCCCGTATGTAACACTGTCTGAGAGTCATGACCAAGACCTTGACTTGTCTCACCAGAGACTCCTCATGCCGTCCAGTTCGAACTTCCCCTGAAAGCTGTCACTGCGATAGTGCCCTCTACCACAAAATCTGACTGTCTTTTGTCAATTCTTCGTTGCCGTCCATCACTTTACTTTTTTTCTCTGCTTGTACACAGAACTATTCTCTCATACAAGACCGTTTCTTCATGTTAAGTCTAGCGTATTCAAAGAGCATTTCATCAACATTCATTTTAGATGTCAATCCTTATTTCGTGGACGGCATCCAACTTATAAATCCGTTAGCGAGTCATGTCGATTCTGGCTTCTCATCAGCTTGCGTGTTCGTTTACCACGACTAGCGCCGCAAACAAACCACCAACAACTCGTTGAGCCATCACAGCGCCTGTACTCCCGCGAAGCCCAATACAAATGACCTTGGCTGGCTTGGTGTGTCTCGCTGCATTCACGGACATTGAGACCCTGAATCTTTCGGGACGTGCCACAACAACCTTTGGAATAGAAGCAACTGCCCAAGCAGATATTGTGACCGGGTCTGATCCCGTGTTTTCAGGAGGCAACGGATACCTGCCTTGATCCCTCCGCATGGAAAGCGTGGATGATTTGTGTCTGGGAACGAAAAATACCCATTTGCCAGGCAACATGCCTCTCCGCAGGTGGAGCCCTAGGGTGCTTGCGTCAAGCGTGAAACTTAGTTGGAAACTGGATCTTGTCGTTCAAGTCTCGAGGTTGGAGGCAATCTCCATTGGCGACTGCTTGCCATATTTGTTCGCTCTTTCTCACCCGGCAAGAACAAGTTGTGATCAGTCACTCTCGGTTTCACAGGGACCAACAGGCATCCTTCGATCATGTGATCAGACAGCATGACCAAAAAGAACCGCGTACTGAGCATTGAAGCCAACCACTCAAAGTGACCCAGTTCGGCCGTGTCATCCATCTTTGGTACCGTCGCACGACAACGCATATTATTTTCCCCAGGCTTGATGCTGACTGGTGGCACGTTCCGCCTTGTCCAGTAGATCTTGCTCTCGAGTCGAACCGAGTCATTTCTCGTCCTGGATTGATATCGGCCACTCTACGCTGCTGACGATTCAACAACTCCTCGCCAGCTATTCAGCCTCTGGTCGCTTTGCATCCGAGACTGGAACCCC